GATGGAGAAATGAGCTGCCACAAGCTGTCTCCTCCCAATGCTGACTTTGCCTTTGCCCTTTACAAAAGTCTGAATGCCAAAGCTGCTGCTGGAAAGAACATCTTCTACTCACCGCTGGGCATCTCCACTGCCCTGTCCATGCTGTCTACAGGCGCCAGTGGTGAAACCCACAGCCAGCTGTTCTCCAGCTTGGGCTACAGTGCTCACAACCAGGCACAGATCAATGAAGCGTACGAGCATCTTTTCCACATGCTTGGCCACAGCCAGGAGAACCAGCAGATGGTTGTTGGAAATGCTGCTGCAGTGCGCTCTGGTTTCAATCCTCTGGAAAAGTTCCTGAACGATGTCAAGCACTTCTACTCTGGTGAAATCTTCAATGTTGACTTTACCAAATCTGCAGAGGCTGCAGCAGAGATCAACAGATTCATTGCCAGTAAAACACAGGACAAGATCAAAGATATGGTGAAGGACCTGGACCCTGAAATGGCCATGGTGCTGATTAACTACGTCTTCTTCAGAGGTAGGACACACATGCATACAGAGAAATTCTCAAAAGCATGCAGATGTAGATAGAAGTTCTGGTGCATATCACCTTGTGTTGTTTAAGGCTCTCAATGACAGAGCCAGAAATGTAGAATAGACCAGTCTAATGGTATTACAAGAATGCAATTTTAGCACATATTTTGACATTTTAAAACAAGTAACCATGATTGTTTGAGTTGACAGTAACATTTAATCTTCATCCTTCCCCCTTCACTGCATTATACAGGACAGTGGGAGAAACCTTTTGATGGTAACCTGACGAGCAAGGCAGACTTCCATGTGGACGACACAACCACAGTTCAGGTGGATATGATGAAAAAGACCGGTCGCTTCGACTCCTATCAGGATGTTGAAAACCACACCACTGTCATCATGCTGCCCTACAAAGGCAACACCTCCATGATGATCGTCCTGCCTGATGAAGGCCGGATGGCGGAGGTGGAGGGCTACATCAACAAGGACTACCTCAGGCACTGGCATGACTCACTTTTCAGGAAGTAAGAGATTACTTTGGTTTCAATCCTCATCGTCATGGTTTTGAAGTGTCTTATAAACTAATGACTGAAAAAATGGTTCAGGTGGTCAACTGGATCAGATGTATTAAGTGTCCAAATTTATTACAGCAAAAGTTGACTAAACAAGCTGTAAGTCAACTGTATATTCCAGTGATTCTGACCCTAGTGATGTTCTGTTTCTCAGTTCTGTAGATCTGTTCCTGCCAAAATTTTCCATCTCTACTGAGGCTACCCTGGACAGCACACTGAAAGAACTGGGCATAACCAACGCTTTTGCAGACAATGCTGATTTCTCTGGCATATCTGAGGAGGTCAAGCTCAAAGTCTCAAAGGTAGGAGACACAAATATGCCTTCATATGTTTTAAGTAAATTGGCATATTTCAGGAATCTGCCTATTTCATGACAATTACGCATTAAAGAATATTAACATGTTCACAAATGCATAGAAAGTGGATGTTGGAAAGACCCTTTGCTAGCCTGTAGCTTCTACAGTTTTCCAACATCTGTGCTCTACTTTTAACAAGACACTGACTACCTCCTCCCGGTTCCTCCACAGGTGTCCCACCAGGCCGTGCTGAGCGTGGATGAAACAGGAACAGAGGCAGCAGCCGCCACCACCATCGAGATCATGCCCATGAGTATGCCTGAAACCATAAAACTTGACAGACCCTTCTTAGTCTTCATCCTGGAGCACTCAACTAGGAGCATCCTCTTCATGGGCAAGATCAACAACCCCACAGCCATGTAAAGATGCTAGGGAAATTAATGATACATTTTCAATGTAGTAAGTTTTAGTAGCTTATTTTGACCTCAGTATATGAAAGCCCTACATAGAGATCACAGTGATATTAAGAGCATTGTGGGAAATGATGAACAGAGGATAGTTTGATAAATAAGACAAAAGATCTATGTTAGTATATTATTTTGCTGGCAGTCTGTCAGCATTATATATTTACTACCATCTGTCATCAGAACGTGGCTGGGTGTATAAATGTCCAAATACATCATTATATATTGTATCCAGCTGACTGTTGTATATGACTGAAACATTAGTAGATATGTAACTTCTGCTCACACATTGAGCTAAGGTGTTATCGTGCTATTGCTGCTATCGTTCAGTATGAAGTGAATTAAAGACTTGTCATGAACAACTTGCATTTTATGTTATTTAAGTCTTTCAGTCTAATCTTGAGTCCACTGGTCTAATTAAGAACTGTATGATCTACAATACCAAATTACAGAGAGAAGGAATCAATTGTTTTTTTAAAAGTTTTTGAATAATTCTCTTTATATTTAATTTCTGGTCTATCATTTGATTTCTGTAATTGCGTGATGATAATTGTAAACTCACACACATTTCACACAACTCCTCAAACGCACCAGCAAATGTCTTTACCAATGTTATGTCGACTGAGATGTGTTACATTAGTAAACAGCTTTGTCAGAAATCTTGTGGGAAATGACAGAAAAATGGCTGGTCCTCTGGAATATTTAATAGATCAACTGTATGTAATGGTTAAGTTTCTGCCATTAATGACAACCTATTTTTTAAGACACAAATTAGAATAAAACTAAATAAAAGTAATCCTTGAAAATGAGAATTATGGTGAAACATGTTAAATTTTTCCCAGGGAATAAAGGTTTATTCAGCGACCTGCATGCGTCTGCGGAGTCTAGCTCATGAAACAGTGTGAATTATTGCACAAAGATATCATAAATAAGTTCATGTAGCTGCTTGACCTGTTGATCTTGCATTCTGTAGTGTTATGTCTCCGTCATTAATGTTATCTGGCGCTGGAGGTTCTTGGAATAAACAGATTTATGGACGAGAAGAAGCAGCAGCAACAAACCAGCTGGAACAAACTATGAAAACATGCAGGAAGCACATTAATAAAAAGCTAAGCTCATGTGACATCAAGTGCTGTTGATGCGGATGTAATGTTTTTGTGCCTTAAATCAGCTATCTTTCTTGTTACTGTCGGAAGGAAGATAAATAATATCACTCAGTTAATGTTATCTGTTGATTTAACTTCTCCTCTTCAGCTAATCCCAAACAATGAAAAGCAGTTTAGTGAACAAGTGAGTGAATCCAGCCTGAATGAGTCGCTAATCTGCAACAGAGAACACAGGTAGCTTCAGTAATACTAATAAACAATGTATGTTGTACTACTTGTGATATAAGAGTATGACACACATAACCATAGTAACTATACACACAAAAGATAATGTACACAACAATGGCAACAACTAGCCTACTCAATAAAGAGAGTATCCACACACTCAAGTCTGTTACAAAATCCTTTTTGTGAACTAGCTGAAAAGTTGTCCAAGTCATCATGGCCGTTCCCAGACTTTTTTGAGTGGGGTGGCACAAGTAAGGCACTGACTTATGTAGGGGTGGAAGTATGTGTTTCAGATTTCCATCTTTCCCAATTTATGCAATTCCAGTACCGTTTATGGACCCCAGTATGCAGATATTTTTATACCATATGTATTGTTTTTTCCCAAAACTGCATGGGTTTAGCATAAAGTCTGGAAATGGGAAACTCCTGGGTACCCACAGAATCCATTTTCATTCAGATATCTTGAAGTCAAAGGTGAAGGGAACCCTTTGAAAATGGCCATGTCAATTGCCAACATTATGTCTACATGCTAGCATGACAAATGTGTCAGGTCATCTAGTTTCATATGATACCTTTAGCTTTACCCTACCTTTAAAGACAATGTGAAGTGGAAGAGGGAAGGATAATTGGGCAGCACACAATCAGGGGTGGCCAGTGACATCCCACACCCCCCTCTCTGGAAACGCCCCTGCAAGTCATTGCTGGACACATCATTTAAATGCCTTCTCTAGCAATGAGCTTAACTGCTGGTTTTCACAAGACAGAGTACAGAGCATTTAACTACTTTTGGCAGTTATAAAAAAGAGCCATAGTTACCTAACATTAGCTAAGCTGTGAAAATTATGTTAACTTTGGAGCTCCACTGAGTGACTAACTAACATTGCCAACAGTCATCTAAGATGAATAGAACTACTATTACAATATGTACAGAAATGTTTCTGTTTGCAGTCTTTTAGCATGACAAGTTCCTTATCATCAGTGATCTGAACCTGTCTCTAAAGGTCTAAATAACTCATTATATATTGTATCCAGCTGACTTGTGTACATAATGTATTGCACTGCTGACACATTCAGCCATCTTGGGGGTTATTGTGCAATTGTTTCAACATGTAGCGAAGGAAGACTTGTCATTAACAGTCAGTATATGTTACCATTTCCCTTTTCCCCGGAAGGGACTTAAAGTGGAAATTATTTAAAAATGACAGTTTGGTATTAGTAGCTTCACATTTCAATCAAAGGCTCCTGCTCTATCATTTTCTTTTGTAATTCTGTGATTATTACTGTAGGCTTCTGTTTATACAACCTTTAGTCACTACACAACTGAAGATACATTTGCCAGAAATCTCTCAACACAGGACAGAAAAGGTTGCTCCTCGTTAATTTTTAACAGATCTGTCAGCTGACTCTTCGATTTAACATAATGGTGAAGTTTCTGCCAAGCTGCAGCAAGAAGGACATCAATGGTAAGCATCGACCTCTAATGAAATATGCTAAATGTTTTATATACATTTTGAGGACTTGGAACCAAATATGAGAAAGAAGTGACATTTGGAATTATTGTTGTTAAGTTCAGAAGTGAACTTTTCTAAATAAGACATGTCTTAAAATGTAAGTGTAAATCTGTTAAGATCGTGTTCTGTTCAAAAGGTTTTGAGCCTTTAGCTACTGTCAACTTTATTATTGTCATTCTTCATGTTGTTCTTCAAATAGCTCTACATGCAATACATTTTTTAATTTGTTATTGCGTTATTGTGACCAACTGTGCTTGAGCTCAACTAACAACTTTGTTTGTTTTTTCCTTTTGTATGGACAGGCTATAAAGATGAGTGGTATCTTTGCTAGTTGTGCACTCACAGCACTGCTACTGGCTGCAGCCTGGGCAGACCACCACCAACACGACCATGATGGAGAAATGAGCTGCCACAAGCTGTCGTCTCCAAATGCTGACTTTGCCTTTGCCCTCTACAAAAGTCTGAATGCCAAAGCTGCTGCTGGAAAGAACATCTTCTACTCGCCGCTGGGCATCTCCACTGCCCTGTCCATGCTGTCTACAGGCGCCAGTGGTGAAACCCACAGCCAGCTGTTCTCCAGCTTGGGCTACAGTGCTCACAACCAGGCACAGATCAATGAAGCGTACAAGCATCTTTTCCACATGCATGGACACAGCCAGGAGAACCAGCAGTTAGATGTTGGTAATGGTGTGGCCCTGCGCTCTGGCTTCAACCCTGTGGAAAAGTTCCTGAACGATGTCAGGCACTACTACTCTGGTGAAATCTTCAATGTTGACTTTACCAAACCAGCTGAGGCTGCAGCTGAGATTAATTCATTCATTGCTAATAAAACCCAGAATAAGCTCAAAGATATGGTGAAGGACCTGGATCATGAAATGGCCATGGTGCTGATAAACTACGTCTACTTCAGAGGTAAGACACAGACCATGCATGCAGATAACAAGCTGCTTTGATTAACAAGTGTCTTTAACCTGCATTCTATGTAAAGGCAAGCAGGGAGAGTAACAATAACAGACCCATACCATAACGTCTTATGGAGAAAGGACCCGACTTCTCACTTGATTTATTAGCTTATTAAACAGTTCCTAATTCATTTATGGTCTCAATCGCTAGTTTTAAGTCTTCTTCAATACAGCATGATGTTCATTTTGTACATTTTGGTCCAATAAAATAGACGATAAAGCAGGGTATGCTTGTTATTCACAAGTCATTCTCGTCATTTAGTGTGTCAAATCTGCTGTCCCCAACAAACTGTCAAGGCCCCGACCACAATGCCAAACTTAAGACTTCAAAATGATACTCCACGCACCAATGGGTGACAAACTGACATGTTCATACTTGGTTCAGGTGCATATCACCTTGTGTTGTTTGAGGCTCTTAATGATGGAGCATGCCACGAACATACATATTATATTGCAACATTTTAAAACAAGTAACCACGATTGTTTGAGTTGACATGCACTAACAACATTTTTCATCTTATCCTTCCCCCTCCACTGCATCATACAGGACAGTGGGAGAAACCCTTTAATGGTAACCTGACAAACAAGGCAGACTTCCATGTGGACGACACAACCACAGTTCAGGTGAACATGATGAGGAGAACAGGTCGCTTCTACTTCTATCAGGATGTTGTCAACCACACCACTGTCATCATGCTGCCCTACAAGGGTCAGACCTCTATGATGATCGTCCTGCCTGATGAAGGCCAGATGGCAGAGGTGGAGGGCTACATCAACAAGGACTACCTTAGGCACTGGCAAAACTCAGTCTTGAGGAGGTAAGAAATTAAATTGTTTTGAATCCTCATCCTTATCGTTAAGTGTGTTATAAACTAGTGACTGAATAGACAAGTTCAGGTCATCTGGATCAGGTGTATTTGGTTTGAACAAAGTTTTCACATCTAGTACAGCTAAAAATGAAAAAACAAGTTAACTGTATATTCCAGTGATTCTGACCCTGGTTCTGTTTCTCAGGTCTGTGGCTCTATTCCTGCCAAAATTTTCCATCTCTACTGAGGCTACCCTGGACAGCACGCTGAAAGAATTGGGCATAACCAACGCTTTTGCAGACAATGCTGATTTCTCTGGCATATCTGAGGAGGTCAAGCTCAAAGTTTCAAAGGTAGGAGATGCAAACATGCCTTCACATGTTTATTATGCAAATTGAAAATATGCCTATTTCATGATAATTATGCATGGAGGAATATTTGCATGTTCACAAATACATAGAATAGAGTTATTGCAAAGACCATTTGGCATCTTGTTGCTTCTACAGTTTTATACCATTGGCTGCTGGGTGTCTACTAATTCCTGATATAGGACACCTACTAGTTAGTTTCAGTGAAACTGTCTGTTCACCATCTAAATTAATGCACTGAAATAAACTGAATGAAAACAAAATCTGAATATCTCATGAATATATCACAACACTGAGTGTAGTGATTCAGTACCTCATCCTCTGAACACCACAGGATGGCAACTGTAACACCGAAGCCCCTAAACTGCCTCTCAGAACTCACTGATACTTTGCATAAGTGATCATCTCACATCCATCCGCTAATCAACTTGTTACTTCAGGCAGACGCTGTCAGTACATATCATTTTTTCGTGAAAATCTTATTTATCTGGGGACAATGACCTGGCTGGATAGCTAGCTAGTTTTGTTGTTAAACATACTCAAATTCATGGGGTCACGTGATGGTGGCGAGGGGGGCACCATGTTTTGGCATGAGCTTCGTGCCACTCAGTTTTAATCATCTGTTTATCCTGACAAAATCTTGTATGGGTATGATATTTTGTGCTATGTCCCTAGAAAACTTCTGGCCACAACCTTTTGACAAAATGGGAAGAAACCTAAAAAGTAGAGACAAGAAAGATACTATGTCTGTACCTGGTGAGGAAGCACAAGATGGTGACCAGACCGAATCTGATGCCTTGGATGAACTCGACTGCCTGCCTGAGACTTTTCAGCGAGCGGATAGATGAAGCAGAGGCTAGAATCCAAGCAGTTGAAAACTGCCACAGCACAAGATCCAAGGATTACTGAATTGGAAAAGCAGGTTGGTGCGTTAACAGAGAGTTTGGATATGACTGAGAATTACAGCAGGCATCAGAATATTCGGGTCGTTGGTTTGGCAGAAGTCACAGAGAAGGGGCAGACGGTGTCTGCTAATGTGATTTCACTCATTTTAGAGGGTGATGGAAGCGGCACGCCACGCTAGTCAAAATGGTGCCTTAATATACAATGGATCCAGGCTCTAATTGTATAGCGACTTCTCTGTGGTGGTGATAAAGAAGCGTAAAGCGTATGATGCGGTGAAACAGTGGCTTCGAGAAAGGGGCATACCTTATGCCATGCTCTTCCCAGCTGTTTTACAGGTGTCCCATGAAGGCTGGAAATTCACCACCCCGGCACAGGTATGCAACTACCTAAACTCCCTGCCAGGATCCTAATCTCATGGACCTAATGCACAGATTGTCCTTAATATATTTTACTGCATTCCTGGTTATTTCCCACTCAGTGGTTTGACCTCTCTAGTTGTCTAGATAACATTGCTAACTCTCAGAACATCTTCTGACTGATTGGCGGGGGCCACTTGATATGTGCTCTTTTTTCCCCCCTATGATATTGATTACTTCCACTGTCTTACTTTGTGCATGACCAATTCAGTTGGTGTTGTGAGCTTGAAAGCTATTGGTTTGGTGGACAGTCCCTTTGGGGGTAAGCCCTCAATTTGTTTTGTTTTTCATACTGTTATTATGCCTATTTAGTTAACATGTGTTACATGATGGATGTACGAAAGAGATTGGGGTTTTGTTATGGGTGCGGGCTGACCATTTTGACAATATAGCCACAACAACGTTTTAGGGCCATGTTTAATTTAAACATCATTAACTTCTGTTCTTGGAAAATTCGGGGTCTCCAAAAACCTGCCAAGACAATGGCAGTATTGTCATTTCTAAAAAAGAATTGGTTTCTTTCGCTTTTCTCCAGGAAACTCACTTGGAGGATAAGACAATGTAAAACTACAAAGGAATTGGGTGGGGCAGGTTTTAGCAACATCCATTCATGTGGCCATTATGGTCAGTAAAAATCTTGCATTTAGAACCCTTAACTGTGTCTAAGATAGTCAAGGGCACTATGTGGTTGTCAGGGGAGTACTTTTAGGTAAGGTTGTAACACTCGTGAATCTCTACTGCCCTCCTGGCTATTCCCCAGATTTTCTCTCTAAGGCTTTTGCCGAGCCTGCCTAACTGGCATCTGAGAATTCCTTTGTGGGAGGAGACTTTAACTGCCATCTTAATCCTTCTCTTGATAAAAATCCACCAGGCATCAAGCAGTTTACATGCCCCCAAGAAGTTATACCAGAATTGATATGAATCGTTTTTATTCCTTTATCCAAAATATTTCGGGTTCTGTCTTGTACCATAGGCAGCATCATCTTGTCTCACCACACCCCCCTATATATGGCCTATTTCACTTCCTATTTTACCTCAAAATATTTTATTCATTTAACTCTTCATCTACAGATAATCACTCTATCCTTGGGATACAGGTAAAGCCTATTCCCAGGGTTTGATTAGGTCTTTTGGCTCCTTGAATCTAGATTAGCTGATTTGAAGCACTACATATTATGCCAAACTTCAAATTTAAGGAATTGGTGGCTACACGTACTACACTGAATACTTTGCTGATTCAGGATTCTGAGCCCTCCCTCAGATTTGCCAGACAGAAGCTGTAAGAGTTTGGGGATAAATCTGGTAGATATCTTGCTAATCTTGATAAAAAGAGTGCTGACTCCAACGGTGTCAGAGCATTTGACACTTACAGTATTAATAAAGAGTTTGCATTATTTTATTCAAATTTGTATAAGTCAATGATACAATGCCCTAGCCTAATTTTTTTTTAGACCTGAGATTACCAAAGGCTACATATGCTCAAAAATCACTATTAAATGCCCCTATCACAAGAGAAGAAGCCTTGCTCGCTTTGAAATCTGTACCATTACGGAAGACCCCAGGGCCAGATGGATTTGGGTGCGTTTTATAAGGAGTTTAACTATATTCTCATGGACCCCTGCTGGCCATGTTTAACCACTCATTTGAAAATGGGATTTTACCTCAATCACTCAGGGAGCCCAACATTTCTCTTAACCTTAAAAAAGGAAAGTGCCCTGACAGCTGTGCCTCCTATAGGCCTATAGCCCTACTTAACTCTGACCAAAAATTGCTTTCCAAAATATTAGCCATGTGTTTGGAAAAGTGCTTTCTTATAATATTAAAGAAGACCAAACCAGGTTTTTATAAAGGGTCAGTATTCCTGTGATAACACAAGAAGGCTCCTGAATATCATTTTGCTATCCCAGGGCTGCACAGACCCTGCCCTTGTACTTTCTTGCGATGCCGAGAAGGCATTTGACCAGGTCGAGTGATCTTATTTGTTATTTACATTGGAGAAATTTGACCTGGATTTCCCTTGCATCATGGTAACAGACATGATCCTCTAAGTCTGCTGCTCTTTGATATTGCTATCGAGCCATTAGCCCAAGCTATACGGCAGACTGCAATGGCCAGACCTTTGCTATCCCTTCAGCAGCGATATGGCTTACAGAAAAGTGAATTTTTTTTAGGTACTTACAAAATAAACATTTTATCACGAAAGATACCACATTAATAACCAATAGTGTCACCTCATATGTAGAGAAAACCTTGGCTTTACAGGTTTCCAAGAAGCCCATTAGTGTATTTTAGTCCGAAATTCCATCTCATCTCAAACTTCCCAAACTACTAAACAAGCCTGGGAGAAAGATCTGGGCATTTCTATTGATGACTTAGACTGGCAGGAAGTGTGGATCCAGGCTACACAAATATCCATCTGTAATCAAACCAAATCTATTCAATTTAAAATTCTACATCGCACACATATTACACCAGCTTTTAAAAACATTCAATGCCCATTATTCTTGTAATTATTTTTCTTACACACTCATTTTGCTTATTCCATGTCTAAGCAGTTTTGTTCTATGTTGTATATGAAAAATGCAATAAATATATTCTCCAAAAAACCAAAACCTTATTATTAATACTTTTCACTGTTTTGTCGACCGTACGCAATGTTATTGACTTTGAATCTCACTAGCATACCATTAGCTTACTGGCTCATAGCTGAGCCAAATGGCTATGTGAGCGCAGGGAACTAGATAATGTATATATCTCCCATTGTATCTAAGGTTCGTCCCATTTACTGGAGTAGTAAACAACGTTATGGCATGTATAAAAATGTCAAAACTGTTAATGGTCTTTTGTTTTTCTTTGGACTTTTGGACATGGAGGCCTGATTGACACTTTGTCAGGCATTATCCCTTACTTCCAAGACCTGTGGTTTATTTAATTCCTCCACAGGTGTCCCATCAGGCCGTGCTGAGCGTGGATGAAACAGGAACAGAGGCAGCAGCCGCCACCACCATCGAGGTGATGCCCATGAGTATGCCTAGAACCATGAAGCTCAACAGACCCTTCTTGGTCTTCATCCTGGAGCACTCAACT